GTCTCTTTGGTTACTCAGAAATTTCCTTATCTTCAAAAAGGCTGCTCGTGATTGCTCTATTCTTGAGCGAATTTCTGATTTCGGATTCAGATCTTCCGTAATCCAGACTCCTAAGTATTTCATTTTGTCCACTTGCTCAATATCTTCATTTTTTATCTGGATCCTTGTAATGACTTTGCCCCTCTTACTGATAACCATGGTTTTTGTTTTCTTTATATTTATTGTTAAACCAAACTGTTCCACAGTATCTCAAATTGTGTAATGGTGAAAGTACACAGCTCTGTCTCACTCCTCTACTTATCTGTTCTGCATCCGTGCTATTTCCATCTAATGTGTTAATGTCATTTTTGTTGACTCCTTTTCTCTTTTAGACATTCCATGAGAATGGTATGTTTAACTTTGTCGAAAGCTTTCTCATAGTCTATAAACGCAACGAATAGATCTTTTTGCTGGTCTCGACATTTTTGGGCAAGAGTTGTGAAACTATACAGAGCTTCCGCTGTTTCAAAGCCGTTACGAAAGCCAAACTGTCTATTCCTCACTGGTACTATGCAGTTAAGAACAGAATTTTCCAATACACAACAGACATGGTGACACATGTCTTAATTATTGATCAATACCAACAGAGATACTTATAATAATATGTTATAAATAATTAGTAATAAAACTTGCTCACACTTGGTATCTCTAATGCAATCAGAAGTCTTTCTTCTACAGTGAAAATTTTTCTATAGTTTATATTCTTTTTTGCTATGTATGGCGGAAGTATTTCTACTAGTTCAGTGAAGAGTTCGGTAAAATAACCTTCTTCTCGTCCTTCTCCTATTCCTTCGCGGCTGTAAAAGCTCCTCTATTTTTATTGTGTGCTATATAAGGAAGATTCCACCAATTTCGTTTCCTTTTAATTTTTCTTGAGTACCAGACCATTACTACGACATCGTTACCTAAACCACATAGGATCCATGGAACCTCTTTATACTGTGCCTGAATTGCTCGTCATCATAAACATTACGGATCGCAAATCAGTCAGTTGGTGGAAGAAAGACAAACGATGCGATTTATTGGCAATAGTTGCATCAAAGTCGAGTTTTAGTTGCATTGTCAGCCTCGCAACAGTCAGCATTATAGTCATATTTATTAAGCATGTATCTAATATGCGGCACACCGAAATGATGGAATAATTGTTGTTAAATTTGATATACCTAGTTGAATATCCTTGATATATTTTATTTTAAACGTCAATAAAATATTTCAAAGTGTCTTAGTAGTTAATTACCGCAGGATATAATACTGAAAATGTCAAATGTCACACAAAGGACCACAGCTTCAGAACTTCAGAGTTTTCAAATCTCTGTAATAAAGGAATACGATCTTGTTATTGATACTTCTGTGTAATTCTTAAGAAATTATACACCCGATGTATATATAATATTACAAACAACTTTACTAAATTTTATTAAAGTCTGGAAAATTGGACCCAGACTAATTAAGCTTTCGTACGTTTACTCCAGGTTTTAACTAACTTTCGTAATTAATTATGCGCCTTAGGTAAAACTCTTTGAGTATTGTTAATTTATATACAGAGAATTATAATAACTTACGTCCAAAAAGATGGATGGAAATATAAATAGATGAATTTATAAACAAAAACCTGACAAGAGGAAATATTGTGTAGATAGGGATAATCCGGGAATATTTAGACATTTCAATATAAGCATAACGAAATTAACTTGAAAACCGGATAATATTATCTTCATAAATTATATTTGACATGTTTGTTAACATGTCAGAACATAACAGAACTAAAGGAATAAAATTTTTGAGCAAATATACCGGGTTTTCTCAAACGTTCTGCACACAAGAAAACTACGAATTCTGGAACTTATTTTACGTCGATCGATTTGATATAAATCAACTTATCGAAAAATGCTTCCTAGAGAACTCTTCTTAACCTTCCGTTACTCGCGCCAATTTTCTGTGATCGAATACTCGCGCACGGTGCAGAAGACCGGGTCCGAAAAAATGGGGTCAGTAATATTTTTTAATTTTCTTTTTTTGAAAATTGTGTACAATTATATTATTTAATGAATATATGATCATATAATTTTGTAGATATGCGTTTGTTTCCACATTATATTAGTTTAATGAAAAGTTAACTAATTTTCATTGTTATCGATTTATATATACAAAAATCTTTAAAAATTAAAAAAAATACATTGAATATTGTTAAATTTGTTTACTAGGAACTTCAAGAAATTAATTCAATACACAAAAAAAATCAAAAATGAAGAGTAATTGCAACAATAAAAAAAATAAGAAATATTAATTAAAATTTTCATAACATGAATTACACAATGATTTAACATGTTCCAAACACAGATATTTTGTGCATATTTGGCAGTAATATTTTGTTTTTCTATTTTTCCGCCAATGACAAACGGCACAGCGACCTTGAGTTCCAGGTGTTATGACTGGTACTTGTTCCGCTGGTAAGCCACATATCTCCCTAAGCCTCATTCTGATGGTTCTGGGTAAACTGGTAGACATAGCCCGTACTTTTTGGTAGTCACTGGTTAGTAACATCGAGAGTTTTAGTAAAAATTCTTTACGTGGTGTTTTAGATTCTTCATCTAGACTAGTATAAACTACAAAAGAGTTTATTCCTGCTACATTCAACAAACTAAAAAAAAGGAACCATGGGCCATCGTCTTGTGGCACGGGCGCAATTATATTGCGCGCATAATTTATCTACCACATCTACTCCGCTCTTCGTTTCATTATATGTAATTATCATCTCAGGTTTACCTGTGGTAGGGTCAATATCATCTCCATGGTGCATTGTAGAGATAAGTAGGACGTTTCGATTTTTTTTTGGCATATGCGAAACCAAGGTGATTCCGTCATTAAATCCAAACATTGAAGAGCCAATGCACCTGCCGTTATTTTGTATAAATTCTAATGGAAACTGTTTTTTATTTTTTCGAATAGTACCCACTAAAGTTAATTTTTTTGAAAAATCGTAAAATAGTTTCGAATTTTATTCGGATTTACTCTGTGTGAGTACTAGAAGCACAATTCGCTAAGGATTTCTGCTTAGTTGTAAAATACATGTCGTGGAATGCAAATTTTAGATTCCCCATGTCTCTTTTAACATCTTTTATCAACGTCTGTTTGCCTTGCAATTTTTAGAAGGCTCAGATTATAAAGCAGAAATCTGAATTGTGTTTCGAAACTATTTTACGATTTTTGTAATTAGATGTCGCTATTGCGTCCGTATTGAAGCCATGTTATTGTTGCTTCTTAAAAGGCAGAAAATATTGATTTTTCACGTTGAGAACCCCTATGAATAGCTCTTCTGACGAGACCTATTATTCGTTCGTCGATATATTCTGCCCATCGTTGAACTTTCTCGTCCGTCTGTGTAATAGTAGTCCCGTGTCTATCCAGAAGTTCACCAGTAGGATTTTGTTTTCTTAGTCCTGCTTTAACTTTCTTGTGTAGGTTAAACAGATCATATTTATTTTGAAGGTCTTTGATCTCTTTGCCTTTCTCTTCAAAGCATTTTTCTTTTGCCTACTTTATTATCTTCTTGATCTCGTAGTTTATCTCTCTGTATTTATTGTTGTATTTGTTTTTAAATTGTCTCTGTTGTACCATCATATTGAGTATCTCGTCATTAATCCATTCTCCTTTTCTCCTTGCGGAAGTCTTTAGTATTTAACAAAATGACGGTATTAGATTTTGATTTGATACAGAGCAGCAACAAGTCGCATATACGTATTTCGATCTCTTTAGATCTCCTCAGTACGGTATAGTTACTACTCCATATCAAACCAAAATATTTTCCCGTCGTAGATTATAGTTATTAAAAATAACTATTTACGGACGTAACTACGCCATCTAAGAACAAAAAGAGAAATCATACGATTTCTACCTGGCGAAATCGAATTCGAATATAAGCCACTGTGCCCCCTAAAACTTGCGAAGCAAACAGCTTGATAAATGAATCGGCAAGGGAGTCTAAAAATTGCACTCCAAATGCCGTTTATCATGGCCTATATTCGTAGTGAATTCGATTTCTGGTACTCCAAATGAAGTAAATAAACAAAACAAAATGACGGTATTAGATTTTGATTTGATTTTTGTTCTTTAGTATTTCTTTACATGGTTCCAGGAGACAATGTTTTAGTCGATCCCAGTACTCATCAAGATCATTGGTGTTTGTGTTCAACTTGCTGCAGTTCACATGCAGTTAATGTTGGAGGCATTCTTGTTAGGTTCTTTATGTTTTCTTGTGTCTATTGTAGGGATTCTTTAATGTCTTTTAATAGTCTTAAATGTGAGTGTATTCTGAGCGATAAGTGGATTGTGATCTGAGGCCACGTCTGATCCAGGATATGCTTTCACCGCTTTAACAGCATTACGGTATCTTTCATTGATCATAATGTAGTCTATCTGGTTCCTGACTACTTTCTGTGGGCGATCACCATGTCTAGAGTCATCTATTTGGTAACTTGAAAAATGTGTTTGTAATAATCAAGTTCTGGTTTTGACAGAATTGTAACAGATGGTCTCCTCTATCTTATCGATTTCCCAGACCATAGTTTTCTATCCACTTTTCGCTTTGTCCATTTCCAATCTTTGCATTAAGATCACCTAGGACTATCGTGATTTCTCTTGTTTTCGTTATTCCCAGTGCCTTCGATATCTCGGTAAAATAATTCCTCTTCGTCTTCGTCGGCATTCGCCTAGAGAACTAGAGCTGTTTAAAGATAGCGCATTAACATCAATTTATCTTCAAAACAGTTGTCTTTTAAGTAATATCATTCTATAAACTTATTTGGTGGAATGTACAATTTTCCATTGACATACAAATTCATTTCTAATTGTGAAGTGAGACTATGAAAAATAAACAAAATAACTTTGACAATAATGCTATAATACAATTATTAATAAATACGGAAATACAATAAAACGAAATAATTTATGTCAGAGTGGTAATGAAAATCTATTTGTTTTTCAGATTGGATCCAAAGAAGTTTAAGCTCATTAATGTAAGTATTAATTTATTGACTAAAATTTACATTAGCAAATAAGCTAGTATTGTTAAAATTGATTGTAACATTTAACTGGTTAATATGAGTCCCTCAGGGAGCATATCATGTGGCCACTAAAAAATGTCAACTCCTCTTCTTTATTAATTAACAGGGTGATTTGTGTAATTGACCATTTATTTCATTTTACTGTAGTGTTTATACGGCTCATTTGATTTTTTTAATTTTTGCATGATACAGTACACTACTATCAAGCATTCGACTGGTATTAGCTAAACTAAAAAATTCCAGGACTGGCTTTGGAAAAATTAATTTAAAAATAAATTTTTAGTGAACGATCAAATCTTACCAAAAATAGAACAACCATAATGAAGTATCAAATTATAAGGTAATTAATTTAAACAAATGTTATAAATTTTAAACATTTTAATTGAAATGATAAACTGAGTCACTGCACAACAAAAAACAGTAACTACTAAAAATAACGAAGAACAATTAAAAAAAAAAACTAAAAATATGTACATAGTTATGATAAACCCATAAATTAGAACTGGAAAAGATACAATAATGGTAACAAAATAAAAATAATTCAAAATAGATTTTCGAAATGGAACCCTGCAGTCTGTACACATTTTTGTTGCCCAATTATTAATTGACTTATTGAATTACAGATACTCTGGGGATCGTTTCTAATAGTATTACAACAATGTATAAGTCTATCAATTAATTGTTGTCGGTTATTAATATTCACTGCGTAAACTAGTTGCTTCAATCGTCCCCAAATATGGTAATCAACGGGATTGAAATCAAGGAATCTTTCAAGGCCACGAAATAGGACCTGCACGTCCTATCCACCTGTTGCCATAAACATTATTGAGATGTTGTCTCACTGCCAGTAAAAAGTGTGGGGGTGCCTCATCATGCTGAAAATACATCCCTCGGATAGCAACGTTGGCAAGCAAATTCGGCAAAATATTTTGTAGAAAGTTCAAATAGACCTGCCCTGTTAAAGGACCATCAAAAAAGTGAGGACCTACTAATTGGTTATTTATGACACCAATCCACACGTTAACCGAAAACCTTAACTGACATGTGAATTTCGTGAATTATTTATCCCATCTCTGGTAAATTGGGCTTCATCTGTAAATAGTGTCCTTGTATAGCGTTGGTCGATTATTGTTAATCCATCTACAAAATTCCAACCTATCGATCTCATCTCCAGCATGTAGTCGCTGAACCATTTGAATGTGATATGGGTGTAGATTATTTTTTTGTAAGACTCTACTTACTTTTGATTGAGTAACATTGAGTTCTCGACTTACTTGTCTAGTGCTTATTGTAGAGTTCATAGTAAAGTCGTCCATAATGTCATCTTCCTGCGCTTCATCTACATGTCGCTCTATTGTTCCACTAGGAAAAGTGCCATTTTCTCGCAAATAATTAAAAACTGACCCAAATATTGGATGACTGGGATCGACGATTAGGAAATCTCCTGCGATATTCTCTACTAGCAGCCCTACCATTCCCATTACAGAATCCATAAACAAAATATTATGTCTGCATATTCTGTGGTCGAAAACTGATGTGGTATTTTGAACGAAAGTAACAAAAGCTCTACCAAAACTAACACAATGTACTTAACGTAGATATGACAGAAGAAATATGTATTCTTGTACACATAAATAACACATATTGATAATGGCAATAATGACAATGGGTATAAAATATCAAGAAACGTCAAACGGTCAACGCCAACCTTCATTTTAAACTTTTTTAGATTTATTTTTATTTAGTACAGTTGATGCAATGTATTATTATTTTACATAAAATTTTAATAATTTACAATCAACAAAAACTAACACATACATGAGGTTTGACTTTTTAATCAATTTAATTTATTATTTATTGAAAATAATGCCCCAATACGATCTATGAGTAAAAATTTAAAATTGAAAAACAATTGATTCTATCGTAGAGATAATACAAAGTGTCAGTAAAGATGTTAATTTTCTACATATTAGATTATGTTGTAGGAAACTCATTTTAATTAAAATGTTTGAAATTTATAACATTTGTTTAAATCAATACCTTATAATTTGATACTTCATTATGGTTGTTCTATTTTTGGTAAGATTTGATCGTTCACTAAAAATTTAATAAAAGTGCGACAACATTGTCGCATATGTCGTTTTCATTGGCTATTTATGTAGTTTGAAAATCACTTATTGCATTTAAAAAAAATTTATACAGGGTGTAATATTTAATACGAATCCCTAAATTAATTTTTCCAAAGCCAGTCCTGGAATTTTTTAGTTTAGCTAATACCAGTCGAATGCTTGATAGTAGTGTACTGTATCATGCAAAAATTAAAAAAATCAAATGAGCCGTATAAACACTACAGTAAAATGAAATAAATGGTCAATTACACAAATCACCTTGTTTATTAATAAAGAAAAGGAGTTGACATTTTTTAGTGGCCACATGATAGGCTTCCTGAGGGCTCTACTATGGTAGAAGTATGTAAAGTTCCTCATGACTCACCTTGTATAATCTATGCTAGTTTTCGGTGCCGTGGTCTAATCAGTATCAATAAAGTCATCATCATCGTCATAAGTGGCTCAACAAGCCGTTGTGGATCTTGGCCTGCTCGCAAAGAAGTTGCCATTCCTGTCATTTTCTGGCAACTTCCCTCCATCTTCTGACCCTTAAAATCTGTAGGTCTTCTTGCACATCATCAAATCATCTCCTTCGTGGTCGTCCCCCTTCTTGTGCCCTCTGGTTTTTAAAATGTTAATCTTTTCGTGTATTCGCGATCTGACAGCCTAGCAATGTATCCAGCCCATCTAAGTCTTTCAAAGTTGTATCTTCGACGCCATAGCCCATTTTCGTTTACGGCCCCAAAAATATTTCTAAGAATTTTTCTCTCAAAAATACCAAGAAGTCTTTTATTATTTTGAGATAAGGTCCAAGAGACAGTGAACAGTTCTGTTTGCTATTGCTATGCGTCTTTTTATTTCGTAGCTTGTCATGTTTGTTGCGTTTCAAGATATGTGAATTCTTTGACTTGGTCATAGGTATAGTTGTTAATTTGAATTTTCTGTTGAATATTTCGGGGGTTTTTAGAAACCAACATATATTTAGTTTTTTCCTCCTTTACCACAAGTCCTAATTCACCCGACGTATCTGCAAGTATTGTAAAACACTGCACCATGTCTCTCATACTTCTGCCCACTATAACTATATCGTCAACGAATGCGAGAATTTTCGTCGATCTATTAAAAATAGTTCCAGTATTCTAATATTTAATTGTCTGATTGTCGTTTCCAAGGCAATCTTAAAGAGAAGACACGCTAGCGCGTCCCCCTGTCTTAGACCATTATTAATGTCAAAGAACGTAGAGTTTTCTCCGTCAATTCTAACGCATGAGCTTACGTTTGGCATTGTTAGCTGGTTCAACTTAACTAACTTAGGTAAGATCCCAAAGTCTATCATTGCATTATATAATGCAGTTCCTTTCACACTGCCATAGGCTGCTTTGAAGTCGACGAAGAGATGGTGTGTGTCTTTGTTATATTCTGTAGTTGACTTTCCAGCAGTAAATCCACATTGATATTGACCAACAATATCCTTTGTAAAATGTTTAAGTCTTTCAAACAATACATTATCGAAGATTCTATACGCAGATGCCAACAGAGTAATGCCTCTATAGCTCTTATAGTTCATTTGATCACCATTTTTGTACAACGGACATATTATTCCCTTTAACCACTCTTCTGGTATTAATCTTCTACCAAATAAGTACTATTAGTCTATGGATCCATATACCAAAGAAATTAAGACACGTATTGAAATAGCACGTACATCATTTATTAAACTTAAAAAGTTTCTTTGTTGTCGGGATATAAGGTTAGAACTACGCCTGAGAATGCTTCGATGTTACGTGTTCTCTACTCTTCTTTATGGTCTGGAAGCTTGGACACTAAAACAAGTTCATCTGAATAGGTTGGCCGCCTTTGAATTTTGGTGTTACAGAAGAATCCTACGAATATCATGGACTCAAAGAATGTCAAACATGGAAGTAACTAGAAGGATAGGAATGAGGCGGAAATAATATTAACTATTAAAAGACGAAAACTTGAGTACTTGGGACATGTGATGAGAGGGCAAAAATACGCATTATTACAACTTATTATGCAATCCGAGAAAAGCGAAATGTGGGAAGACGAAGAATATCCTGGCTTAAGAACTTGAGGGAATGGTTTGAATGCAGTAGTGCAGAACTTTTTAGAGCGGCAGTCAACAGAGTCCGCATAGCCATGATGATTTCCAACCTTCGATAGAAGATGGAACTTAAAGAAGAAGAAGTCTATGGATTGCTACAATAAGTTGATCACCACCGTTTTTTATACATTTCCGAAGAGATGTCATCGATTCCTGGAGCTTTATTGTATTTGAGTTTTATGATGGCCTTTGACACTTCTTCTCTTGTTGGGTCTTCACTGTGTAGTTGACGTTGTATATTTGTGACGGGTTAGATACCAGATCTCTAGTTGGGTTCCTTGGTTTACAGAGGACACCAGCGGGAAGGTGAGAGTCGGATTTGAGTAGAAGAGGCTAATTGGAGTAAACTGGAATCAACTCCATGTTTTGGCATTCTACCACTTTATTCCTCGTATTAATAGAGTGTTGTGACTCATTTCAGCATCCCTGCTTCATGACACTCGGGCTAATACAAATTCAAACTCGGAAAGTCCAACGAATATCTCCTAAAACTTTACCACTGCAGTGGTTAACGTACAGAGGTGCCACAGTACTGTGTCAGTACATTTCTCTCGCCTAGCGGTGTCAATGTTGTGGAGTAATCGTCTGCGATTTTCCGTCTTCATAGAATTTTTTACTCTCCTACAGTTTTTCGCTTTCCTCAGACCATCCAGGAATATATTCTTTGCGATACCCTCTAGCAATTGTTGCTTTTGCTAATGTTATTATTGCTCCTGTAAATTTTTCGTAGTTAATGACTTTTTGGTGGGATCCAACCTAAGCATTTATCAAGATTACTAGATAGTAAGTCCCTATTACTTTTAATACATAGAAAAACACTATATGAATATAATTCTCTCACACACTGATCTGTTTGACGCCATTTACGCTGATTCCTAAAATTTCGTCATTAAACCTTACAATCTGTTATGTTTTTTGCAGGATACGATTTTGCCAAAAGCTGTCAGTTTTTGGGAGAAGGCCCTGTCGGTTCGCCGAGCAGAAAGTGTGATTCGTCTAACCAGGTATGTGACTGATTTGGATAAAGAAGTTTTCATACTTTGCAGAATAACTCAATTGGTTTATTTTTATTCTTTACCGCTCCTAGAGATGTTGGCAATCATAATGGTTATGTTTATTTTTAAATTGCTGCTCTAAACAAATCAATCAATATGTTCTTTAGCGTCATAGTATTGTGACACCGCATATTGACACAAGTGCATATATATCCGTAATATTTTAAAAGCAGTTTAAAAATAATATTCACAATTACACTAAAATCAGTACACGTTCTTTTTTATATTTAATTTAATTCAGTTTTATTACTAAAGTATTTTGACTTTTGTCAGATTTTCAACAATCTAGCTACCCAAATAAAAGGACCTAATAGACAAGCGAGTAAAATCGCAGTTTTATGGCTTGGTAAAATTCGCCAGTGTGTCATTACTAGAGACTGGGAAAATAAATGCACTAAAAAATCTTTAAAATATGCATGCAATATGCATTTAAAAACAGCAATATGCAGATATGCTTCCATAATTGAGATATACGCAGCTATTTTTATAAAAATAATTTTAATCTTTTGGTTAAATACAGTGTGGTTTTAATTTAAAACAGATTGTATTGATATTTTTTGATCTATTTACTAAAATTTAGATTTTCTGACAAACGAAACGGCAAAATGTACAATATTTTTAAATATTTTATTTTAAACACAGGATAAATAAGGATACAATGAAATAAAAGCTATAGACTTCATACAACTTTTTAGCTTTTCCCAGAGGGCATAGAACCTCTTAAATCTAAAAAAAAGCTTTTTTCGACTTTATTTTGTTCTGGACTCAATTTTACTTTAGAAAATCTGAAAAAATTCATGAAGGTGTATCTTTCGAATACAAAATAGCCTGATTTTTTTTGAAATTTCTATATTAAAAATTGAGCCTAGAAAAATCATTGAAATTTTCAATAATTTCTTAGGTTATGTTAATAATTTTTGGCCAACTTTTAAATAGTAATTTTTTATGTATTTTTTTTTCGTTCTTTTAAATGGCCAAGGCAGAATTTTCAATTTATGAGCGGAAAGCTTGGAAAAATAAAAAAAACCGTTTTTTACTCATTTATTTGCACATAACCTCAAAACTCAGTTGATAATTCAACATTTTTCAACATTTTTTCTTCCACATTATCAAATTATGTTGTAAAAGTCCCCATTTAACTCTTTCTTAAAGATACAATTTGAAAATACCACGTTTTTTTTTATAATTTCCGCACTTTTTTTACCTTTCCTCAAAATCAGATAGTAAGATGTATGCTTTTCCATCTATTCTCGGCTACGGGCTATGAATCATCATTGTTAAAATAATCATTTGTAACTTACAAATTCTCAAATTGCGAAAAAACTCGTGTTTTTGTAATATTTTCCTACTTTATTGGCTCATAACCTAAAAATCTATTAGCTAAATTATCCAATTCCCGAGTATTTTTGATCGCACTCTTCAATTTTGATATACCACTTGTCTTTTTTTTTTCTTAGATAGTCAAAACTTGAAAAAAAAAACCATTAGCTGTAAGATTGACCCTTCCTTAACAATTGTTTTTATCGCATATCACTTTTTGTGCGCAAGCCTTACCTAATAATGCATATTGCCTACATATAGTCTAGGTATGAACTTCTAAAGATAAACCCACGCGCACGCGATAATTCGATCTCTTTTGCACTTGTGACGTACCTTGGCGACAAATATCACCAGAAATGTTCTGTTTTGCAAGGAGTTTTGTCAGATTTAGTATTGTTTTATCGTTTATCTAGTACATTGACAAATAAATGTGTGCACTTTTAGATAAAATGTATTTCAGAATATTAAATTAAAGATGAACTTTTATCACCAAGTGACGTCATGCGCATCGACGTACAAAAATCGATTGCGAAGTGGCTTTATCTTGGAAGTCATAGTATCATGGTCTAGGGCCAAATGTTTATTAAAATAAATAAGTTACTAGATAATGATAGAGCGCGCCTATGGGATATATTATCCCTTTGTCCTAAAATCCGTTGCGAGTTAATATCGAAAATCTCGAGTCGTATTGAAATTTTTGAAGATTTCTTTTTTTTTTAATCAAATACCTTTAGCCAGGTATTTGATTGTAGTTGTTCGTGAGGAGAAATAGCTCGTCTCATTGTAGTGTTTGTAGTGTTTTATATTATTATAGATTGCATTCCTAAATTGCATAAATAATTAAGAAGAAAAGGGAAACTATTTGGCTCATGTTTGTACATACATCAAAGAATCCATACACGTACTTATAAGCACAACTTCCGCAAAACATCCCACATATATTTCATTATCAAGTTAGTCGATTTTACTCCTCATCCCTAAGTCGTATGAGATGACAGCATGTGAACTTTCCTGCTGCACATTTAGCTAAAATCGGAACGCGTATCAACTCTCTTTGTTCATGTGATAAATCTACGGCAGGCTAAAATCAAATAATCTTTAATTGTGAACTTAATAAATATCCTACAAAAGTACTAATTGATAAACTTCACTAGCAGAATGCAAGTTACCGCTAAATATTTCACACATAGTAAGCTTCGTTCCTTAAATACTCTAAAATAAATATTTAATATGCCTTAACTTTTAAAATATTTGTGGCAAAAAGGATACCTAATGCTATCCCCTCTTTCTGAACACATACACACACTCAGATAATTTCTGTGTTCAAGTGCTTCTACTAATAATTCTTCAATTAAACTGAAGTGCAACAATTCCTGCCTTTTTCTATTCAACTTTGAACCCAAGCTCTATAGCGTTTTCGCGTATTTTTCAATATTTCGCGGTGTGCTATGACGAGATAACACAAACCTTTAGACTCCGAGCAAGACATATTCAATTTTCATTCAAATACGACTTCTGTTTTGTTTGCTAGTCTATTAGCATCAAAGAGTCGCGAGTAAATCCGACGTTCTTTAAAACCGCGGTATAGACTCGTACATCAATCACCAACTTCATACGTAGATATATTTATATTTTTCCTATAAAATATTTAAGTGCAAAAGGACGTCAAGATAAAACATTTTTATGTTTTCGCCGCTCAAGCAAATATTCGCAAATGTTCACGTAGTTACTAAGAGTCTGATTTCACTTAACTTTTTCTTGTACAAGCGTGATCATTTCAAGTGTTCGGCCCAAGATCAGGCACAGTTTATTTCCTTGGTGTTGGCCTTGCACATGTCGTCCATAGTGCATGGAAACGGACATTGGTAGCACTGGAGCAAGTAGTCCATGTCCTTTCGTTGGCCGCTGTTACATAAGCTATCATTTTTATCGAGTGGCCCATCTTACTCTGTTATTCTTCACAGCGGCCACGCGTGATCTCATTTGGTTCAGTATTGCCGATGTCCTTGAGTCGCAGTTCAAACCAGTCGGTGTGTTTCGGAGGATATCAGTCTGGAGGTTCCACGGGAACGTCACTGCAGGTCGTCGTGTAAGTGCTTTTTCTCACCAAACATTACATGACTGCCTAAAGCGGTCGGTGTACTCCGTGGTTTCGCCTTCGCGTATAGTCCAGGTTCATGCTTCGATTTCGAGGCCACGATTACTTTTTTAACGTGTGCCGATCTATCTCAGACTCCTGTGAGAAAGTGAGAGCCTTGGCTGTAGTTAGGAGGACGTTTGGCTGGGCGCCCCATTTAAAGTAGCGGAGTTTACGAAGTACGTTGTTTCGGGATGCTACCTTCAGAGCGGTCTTTTGGCAGTGTGCTTTATATGTAAGAATTCTGTCCAGCTTTATTCCGTTCTGTGCGTTGCATCTGATCTTCGGCTTTATTTTTGCCTCTCTCGATCTTAGGTGGAAAGAGCAGATTTGAGTTTTGGTGGGGTTAGACGTTAGGAAGTTTCTATCATAGTAAATTGTAAGGTCTTGAAGTGCTTCGTCGAATCCGGTTTCGACCCCTTCGAAGGTTCTGTCCTGTACGGCCAAATTAAGGTCGTCAGCATGCAGTTTGAATGATTGGTTGGTCGTTAGTGTAAACGTTAAACATCATGGGTGATAGTACCCCACCCTGCACGAGGCCATTTTTGTGTTCCGCCAGCGGCTTTTCTTCCTCTTAAAAGAGACATAGAATCTCCTGTTTGTAAGCAATGACTTTACGATGCTTGTGTATTTTTATCTCCTGTTAATGCTCAGACCTTTTCAAGGAGAAGTCTATGACTGACAGTGTCATACGCTAGATCTTAATATCCGTGTTCTCTCAGCACCTCAAACAATGAATAAGGCTAGCTCCCTTTTAAAAAATATTGAGAGACTTGAATTCATTGTTTTGGTGTATGCTCTGTTAAAAAAGATCAGTCATGCCATGACTTAAATGTGTTTTAACGTTTTTCTGAGGATATATTCTTTCGACCATGAATGATTTACCGTATGAGTTCTCATAAAAGACACCGAAAAAAGGTAATAAATGCCTGATAGTGAAATGTGTAGCAATGAAGCTCTGGCAAGTAACCATGGGAGGTTACTTACCGAACGATTACGGAACTCAGTGACAGCTTTAAGACTTTGGAGAACATAAACAGCAAGTTCGGATTTTTGAATGTAGTTCGAATTAGAGAATGCAAATAAAGATCTAAAAATGAAAGCAGAAGAATCGCAAGCGTTTATACTGCTGATCTCAACACTGAAGAATTTAAATTTTAAAAATAGAAAGTTTCAAGCACCGCACTTTATCAGTTGACATTAAAAACATTTAAAAAAAAGCCACATTTAGACAAATGTTAAGTCTATTTATAAAAATAAACTAGAGGAAGGCCACCCTAAGCTACCCTATCAGTCATAGTGTCATCTGGAGAACGAAGTTATAGCAAACTCAAAATCATCAAAAATTAAATGAGAAGTACACTGGGATAAGACAATCTATAATTTAAGTATACCATCAATTGAACATAAACCTGCATCTGTTACCAACTTTGACGACATCATTAATACATCTGCAGCTAAGAATTGTACTAAAAATTTATATTTTCGTTTA